CTGGTATATTAAGAACATAGTAAATTGCAAACTGACCTTTTAAAAAACATAGTAAATTTATTTTGCAAGCTATGCAGGCTAGCAAAAGTACAAATTTTTAGACTATGCAGGGCTCTACTTGCAAGTAAAATATTTTATATAGTATATTAATAATTTGTATATATATATTAGTGTATTTATATATAGATATTATTAGTTGAGTTTATAATATAAATAAATTTGATGTATTACATGATCTGCAATGTAGCAGGTTGTGATATTTAACAATTGCCTTAATTTTTTAAAGCCTTTTCTTAAAAATTTTTATTTAGATTCAATTATTCAACCAAAAACAAACAACAAACTAGCTCTCAAGAATAACTTTGACCTTCTACTTTATACAATAGCTTTTCAAAAACCTAAATTTATTATGGACTTTATTTGAAACCAAAACTCTCAAGTTACCGAATCTATAGATATTCCTCTTGAAATTATTCTTGAAACTCTTAAAAGATCTTTTGTAGCAATTACTACTATTTTTTTTGAACATTTTAACTACCCAAAAATATTTAATTCTTATCTTTTATTCTTCATTATTAGGGTTGTATAATTCTGTAATTTATGGTAAAGTTACTAAAACTTATAGTAAATTACCATAGTAAATTACTATGATAAAAAATTTTAATTGGCCAAGATTATATATATAATCAGCCAAGATTATGCATATGATTAGCCAAAATTTATATACATATGATTGTAATACCATAATATCTGAATATGTATTTAAGTCTAACACTGATTAGTAATTATTATGTAAAAATTTTTTTACAATGCTACAGAAAATTGGAGCTTTTTGGAATGAATATACAGAAATTGATACTAATCGATTTCAGTATAAATATTGTAAAACTACATATAGTAAAAATGCTACTCAACAACAATGACACTTAGAAATATATGAAAAATATAAAGTTTATCATCATAGACAAAAATATACAACTTCTATTTCATGTTTAGCAAAAAATACTCAAAGTACACCAAATGTGTTTGCTTACAAATTTAGTAAGTCAGATCAACAAAAACTTGAAAAGTTATTAGGATATGCATTTTATTCAGCTAGAATAGCTTTTAATATTATTGAAAATAAAGATTTTTATAATTTTCTAAAAAAAGCTATACCTTCATTTAATCTCTTCATGATTCAAATTATCAAATACAATATTAAATACCAAATATGATTTAGTTCATTCTACTATAAACAAATTAATTAAAAATTAGCAATATGTTTCTATAACTACAAATAGATAGTCAAATATAAATCATACGGGTATAATTAATTATATGGTTACTGTTCTATCTCCAATTTTTTATAAATCTGTACTAATATATGAGAACCAAAATACTTTTCAAAATATTGCAACTGGTATCGATGAAATTATTCAGGAAATTGGTATAGAAAAAGTAGTTGCAATTGTAACAGACAATACTCCTTGTATGAAAGCTGCATGGACGATTCTTCAAAATAATTATCTGCAAAAGATTTTTCTTAATTGTTGGGCTCATAAAGTTAATTTGTGGCTTAAAGATTTACTTGGATTGAAATGGTCAAACAAGTTATTACAGATTCAAAAAAAATTATTAACTATTTTTGTTCTAATAAACTATT